TAGTCATGAGAACAAAAGAGGAGCCTGATGGCTCAGGCCTGTGGCCCATCTCCTCCAACATTATGTCCTCATATTGGCCAACCAAATGCTTATAGGAATCCTGGGGGGAATTCATGCAACAAGCAACCTCCCATTCTCCAGCAACTAGTATCCAAAGGCACATCGCCTCCGCAAGTGGAGGTAACACACAGCCATAATGACCAGTAGCCACTGAACATATGTTAACCTGCTTAGAACTTAAGACGCAATACAAAACTTATCCTATCCTACTTCCTTTAGCCCCAGGAGTGCAAAGGAGGAGGTTGCTGGAAGTTAAAGCAGCAGTCTTAAGCCTGGCTAGTAATGCAGAGTGTGACTCCTGGCAGGTAACCCCTTTCTACCTGACTATAAGTACAGTTGGCTGTCCAGTTTAATGCTTCAATTGCTTGTTCCAATATTCTACTCAAGGTTCTGGTGTTGTATGGTTCTTGTGTTGCTTATTATCTGGCATTTTGGCAAAACTAAGGGCAGTGCATAAGGAGGTGGATAGCTGAGTTGGTTAGAGTGTGGTTGCAGGTTCGATTCCTGTAAGGGACAGCTGCATATTCCTGCATTTATGATTCTGTGAGGTAAATTTCTGAGCCTGGTCATGGGCTTCAGGCTTATGTACTCCCTCCCCTCACTCTTTCTCTGCTTCCTTCACTGCCGTAAAAGGCAACCACTAGATTACCTAGAAAAACCTCAAATTCAAATACATGCTGCGACTCAATATTTACCTTATACACTTGGTGGGTGGAATAAGTTGGACTCACCCTAGATATAATCCCAAATGCTGAATAAATATGAGGAGGTCCCAAAGTAGTGTCACCAAGGATATTGGTGCAAGGAGGGGGGGCTTGCCGCCATCCCACACCTATTCTTCCCAGGACACAGGACACACCAGGCAAGGGACTCCTGTATCAGATCCTAGCAGCTATGTAATGGTGTAGTCCTGACTTGTAACTTATTTGCTTGTTTTTGTTAATTTGTGTCCTTGGTAAGGTGGAAGAATAGGGGGAAGAACACTGAGCATGCCGGAAAATATAAATAAAATACCACTAGATGGTGCTAAAAGCACAGCTATTATTTATATAGTATGTGTTTTGTGGTTTGAAAGACTTGAGGACTATGCAACTGGAGACTATTAAAGAGTTACAGGTTTTCATCTCATTTTAGGAATGTGGAATAAGCTGCTCAGTAGCATAAACTATCTTATTAAAACACTGCTTCTAAAAAGTGATTATCTAGTCAGAAAACCTCCCGAGCAGGGGTTCACATTCACAAGGGCTGACCCATCTCTGGCCTAACTACCACTGAAACTTCAAATCCACATGCAAAGGGTCCTAGGATATGCCTGCATGCATAGCTGTTTCTGGGGCAAAGACTCACTGAAGGCTCCCATATGTTCACGTAAAGCGAGGAACAAAGGTAAAGGTAAAGGGCAGTCGTGGCCGACTCTGGGGTTGCGGCGCTCATCTTGCTTTATTGGCTGAGGGAGTCGGCATGCAGCTTCCGGGTCATGTGGCCAGCATGTCTAAGCCACTTCTGGTGAACCAGAGCAGCGCACGGAAACGCCGTTTACCTTCCCGCCAGATTTGTACCTATTTATCTACTTGCACTTTGACGTGCTTTCAAACTGCTAGGTTTGCAGGAGCTGGGACCAAGCAACGGGAGCTCACCCTGTCACAGGGATTCGAACCGCCGACCTTCTGATCTGCAAGTCCTAGGCTCTGTGGCTTAGGTTGTGACAAATTCTCTGCTTCAGGTTTGCCAACTCTCTCCCCCACCCAACTGTGCCTGCACGGCCTTAGTGGGGAACATTTTAAAGCCCAAAGGCCACGTGCCCTTCTAAGCAGCCTTGCAAGAGCCACATACCAGTAAGGGGTGGGACCATGGGCAAAAGTCGACAGCGCAACAAACGTGGACTCTACATTTGTACCCATCAACTAGCTTCTACACACACACTGCCCTCTGTTCTCCATCCAGGCAAGAAAGAGGCACTCTCAGAATTCAAGGACACAGTCTAGCCAGGCAAAACGACTCAGCAGGCTTGTCATTACCTCAGCAACACACAGTGAACCTAGCAACTAGCTTATCCTCTCAGCTGCGAATGAATTTAGCTGCAACTGTAAACTCTCTTCATCTCTTAACAGTGCAACATAATATACACTGTAGCTATGAGAAACATGTAGAGGAATTTCCACATTGTTTTCAGGAACAAAGACAGACCTGGCCCACCCATGCAGTGGGGTGAACCAGCGGTGGAAAATGAAGAGGTGGCGCTCCCCTCACAGCTTCTGCCACCACCAGAGGAGCAACCAATGTAAGGGAGGTGTTGGCATTGGCAGAGTGACACAGCATTCTGCCACACAGATTTACCGCCAGTGGCAAAGCTCTCCAGAACAAAACTCAGTGAAAGGGAAGCATTCCCAAAGTCCTTGTAGGGTTTGCCCTCACACATCCCAGTGAGACTTTGCAAGGGCTTTTCCATGAGGTGAAGCCCTTGCAAACCTCATGCCCCATCCCCCAGTGGGAGCAGGATGTTTTGCTTCAGGCTCCAATACTTTGTCCTGTCTTTTAACATGTTTAAGATTTACAATATATCAAAATTGATATTGAATATTACTTTAGTCTGACAAAATCTGACCACTTAAATTTTATCCCAGTGGCATTATTATGGCTCTTTTTTATGCATTTGTCTTTTTGCATGTGTGCTGATATTGTATGTTATCTGATTTTTGGTGTGTCTTTTAATTTTTATTGACTAAATTGGTTTGCATCACCTAGAGGGCTAGGCAAACATGTGACTTAACAATGTAAACAGTAACAAATAATGCACCAGACATGTTAATGGTGACTCCCCAAAGCTTTTGTTTTTATGTCACACCCTTCTTCAAGGCTTGTGACTGACAAAATTTATTGTTGCACGAGCTTCTGTCTGAGGGCAACTAACCCATTACTTCATGTCTGTGAGGAGACATATTATACTAGCTGACAGGAAAAGTCTTCTTAAAATGTTTCCCAAGACATCCTGAGCTCTACATAACCTGTCACCTCCAAAGCTGTTATACTTGCTTTTAACCTACAAATATCAAATCCTAACACTCTCCTAGGTGGGGAAGGAGACAGCTGAGTTAAGAAATCTTTCATTTTTAAAACAGGGTAGCAATATCTAAGCAGAACTTTCAGCTCAATTCTCATGTGCTTGGCAAGGTAAGGGTATTCTCGTCCCCTCAAGAGCTCATAAGGTTAGGCTCTGTTTGGATTAAAATGAGCTCGTCCCCATTCCTCAGTTCATGTAAAGGAGGAACAAAAGAAGCGTGTGGGGTTTAGGGGTGCTCAGTGCATGGAGGGACCTTTCCATGGTGCAACAGCAAGGCTCTGAAAGCAAAATTTCACCATGCCATTCTCACTTTGTGCCTGTAGAGGGGAGTAGATAGCTATTTTATGATGCACCGTCACTCTACTTTCAGCTAATGAATCCTTACCTTCCATTGTAAAGCCTGAACTAATGTCATTTACACAGGTAATGTTCAAATCCATTTTTTCCTACCTCTGAATGTCCACATCTATAATTTGCATATAATTCCTGCTTCCTGTCTCTCTTTAACAGCACCAAAAGGTGACCCGTTTCATATTTGGAGAGCCAGCATGCCAGAGGGAGAAAGTTTTTTCTGTCCACCATCTAGGCCAGAGAATTTTCACTCTGTTCCTCCAATAGCTGGTCCTTCCTCCCTTCCTCCCTTTAAAGGGGCTCCTTTTACTGCTGAGGCTTTGTGACTTTCCAAACAAATGCATGAAAAATGAACATCCAAGTTGCACACATTTTAATGCACTTTGCACACATTCTTCCAATAAAATATACTTTGTTTTTTGTGTGTACATTATGGGATCTAAACTGCAGCACAAACTCTGGAGAAGTGCATGATTGAACTGATAGTGTGTTCCAGTCTGCAAGTACATGCAGGGACACTGAATCAGGTTGGCTCACTGTGGATCAAACAAATTTCTCCACCATCCCTAGCAGAAATAAAACTGCATGATGGGGAAGGAGCCAGCCTCCTCCCCACCTGTTATTCTTCTGCTTCGAATTGTCGCAACAGCAGCTACAAATCTGAAATGAAAAAGAATCTCCAAATTATGCAAAACTTAAGAGTTCTTTGGCTTTAAGATGCTAAAGCCAGGATCTCTTACTCGAAAGCAGCCTCACCAGTTTGTGAAGATGTGATTTTTGGCCTATGTAATAGCCTGCATTCCTTTTATTGTTAGCACATGCGCGCGCGCACACACACACTGCAACCAAAGTGGTCTCCCCTTGAAATCTCACCATATTCTGCCACCATGAAATATCTTCCTGAATCCTCATATGCAAAAAATGGACTTCCAATGACTATGGTGTACCCTCCCATGGCTGCTTTGGAGGCCAGAGGAAAAGACAGGTCCACAATGCCATTTTGAGGCTTCACATCCACCCACTGGCCTCTTCGGTTCTCATTAGGATCCTGGGCACAGGGATAAGACCAAAAAGACTGTGATGTTTGTGTGGTTTGTAACATCACAAAAGCAGTCAAATACAACATTTCCTGTTTGCCCAGAGCGGACACACAGGGGAATGTTGCTGCAGCCAGGAGGACTTCCTGTCACACCTGGTCTGGAGCATCCTCCCCCTGTATGTGACCAGGTAGATGGGCTTGACCTTCTGAGACCCCATAAAAGGGCTGGTCACGCAGCCCTCTTTCTCTTGATGCTCTTCCTCTTGTACTATCTTGTACTATTTTTGGCCCTTTTCCCTCACTGCCATGAAGGCAGCAAAAATAGGAGGCAATGTCTTCTGTCCCAAACCACATTCACAAGCCAGTTTTGAATGTAAATATTTTACAAACTGTGTAGTCCTGCTTTAGGATTCCAGAAATAAATAAAGGCCAATGAGGTGAATATCTATATCTATATGTTTATTTTCAAATGCAGGTTTGGGAATAGCTATCCGCGTGCCTTTCCTCCCTCTAAGCCAAACATCCCTCATAATGATGAGAGTGTGTTGAATCTCACTCTTAATGGCATGCACTTCAAATCATTCGACCTGTACAGTATACTTAAATTACCAATTAACCCTCACAAAAAAAGATCAGGTCGGGTCAACTGAAAAGATCAAGGCTGTCTGGGCACTTCCATTACCACCATGAAGCAATCAGGAATAAACCAACTGGCAGTTTGTGACCTCAGCCCCCAAACAAAGGTCCCGTGCTTTGTGATTAATGGTTGTATGGTTCACCTTTTGTTCCCAGACAAGCAGTACTTAACCAGCTTTCATTTCATTCCATTTCTTTTTTGCATTCTGCTGATCAAGAACCTTCAGAAATGTGCCTTCCTGAGAACAGGCGCTAGGAAAGAAAAATAAAATAAAAACAACTTCAGGAATTGGGTTTTTTTAAAAAAAAGGTTCCAGAATTATGGGGGCTCTGGCTCATGATCTTGTCATCAGTTGCATTTCATACAAAGAACCCAGATGAATCAGACTACAGGTCTGTTTAATCCAATAGTCTGTTCCCAACCATGGCCAATCTGCTGCCTATGGACAGTCTTAAAAGCCAGGCATGAGTGCAGAAGCCATCTACTGATTGTGATTCACAGCACATGATATTCATACAGCCATCATGACTATAGCTGTCAGGAGCCGTCCTACTCTCAAGAAGGACCCTGGTAGAGACACATGCCTAACTGGCATGTTCTCTTCCTCCTGGTCGATCGTTTGGGAGCTTCAAAAGCTTTCTTCTGCCCGAACATCACAGCGACTGATGCCAAGAAACATCAGTACACTTAGGGATCCGCAGAGTCTTCGCAGCTTGCGTAACAGACCTCAGCAACTCAACATTTTGGCTAATCTACTTTATTTACATGTAAAACACTCGGAGCATTCTGACTTAGCTCCTTCCTCTTTCTCACCAGACAGCAAAGAGAAAGAACAAAGGACAATAATCCCATTTCACGGAACACAGTAACACAAACATCCTGTCTCCGTCACTTCCCACTCTGTGGAATGAAAACATACACCGTCATGTGATAGACAAAAATCCCATGACTGCAGAGACGGGGAATTAATCTTCAACAATAGCCTTCCCCAATCCCCCCTTTAAAGCCATTTAAACTAGCGGCCATCACCAAAATCCATCAGTTATGATCATCATACTTGTTAACAATGATCAAGATGCATGCTTGATGAAATAACATATTGATTCATAAGAAAATGTGTATTAAGAATCTAAAAATGTCTTTAACTGACACAAATATTTATTTAGCATTAAGCAACAGCTATATATAACATCCGGATTAGTTGATGTGGAAATTTTGTGATTTGAAGTGTTTTTGGAACCTCAACCACCATAGTGATTATGCAGTGCTAAGTCACAATGTCTTGCCTGAGAATGATAGCTGTTAATTGCTTTCATGAATATGGATCTGAAAACTTGCCTACAACAGAAAGGTGCCATGCACTTAAAAATGTAGATTAGCCATGGGAGCAAGGGTAAATAAGTCTCCACTGGCATATTACCCTCTGAAGTATCAGATAAGTTGTATTAAGGGCAGCACAATTAATTGGAAGTCAAATATTACTGGGAATTTCACATTTTGATGTGAATATTCATTGGTACCAAATTCAATATATGGTATATATATTTGACTCCAAGCCTATTTTTCACTTCTCCTTAGCAGTCAAGGGCTGAGGGGTGTCAAAGACCCATTATCATTTTTGCAGGAGGGTCCATGTCTTCATCTTCCTACCAGCCACCCAGTCAACATGAAATGGGAGCTTTTTAGCCCCAGGGTAATCTTTACCATTTGAAGCAGGGGGTAAAAACATGCTCCCCTGGGGTTGTTGTTGTTGATGTTGTTTCTGACAAGCAGTTTGAAAATGGGGGCCATGAGGGAGGTGTCCCTGGACCAAAAAAAAAGCACACCAAATTTCAGACAAGCATGTCCAGGGACAACTGTGCTTGTTTATTTTACCTTCATTATAGAAAAATGGAAAAGTCACACTTTTCTTGTTCTCCCCTCCCCCTTTCCTGGAAGTGTTCTCTGTGAAGAAAAAGAGAGTGCTTTGGGGGTTCGGTGACACACCTTATTAACGGCGCAAACCAGCTCAGAGACATGAAAGCTTGTTCCAAATCAGCTGATTCACCTCATTCTGGGTATTTACAGAAGATGGAGGGGGAAAAGGAAGCAAGGGAAATATGGGTAACAATTGATTTGAGTACCACAATGGCATCTGTTTCATTTCTTTTTCTTTTTAAAGAAAATATCTGCTGTTGGGAAATTTGAAGTATTTCTTTTCACTCTAGTTAGCTGTTGCCAGCAACTACTACACATTCACTACACAAACTCTGGTTTTGTATTCTGACTGACAACAAAAGACGACAGGAGCAAATCCACCAGTGCTATTTGGACTTGCAAACCATGGATAAGCATAGAGAACATTGTCATTCAACTGACATTTTCTACAGAACCCGGTGAATCGGGTTACTGCAACACATATGCTAAGGCTCATATATTCAGGATTTCAAGGCTATTCTTTGTCTCTTGGTGACGCTTTACACTGTGATTTCCTCAATATACGTTTATCATAGGATTTTGATGAGAAAAGACCTGTCTGTTTTTTACACACCCACACACCATGCCAATTTCTTCTTTCTTCCAGCAGCGATGCTCAAGAGCTAAAGCATTGGAATGCCTTTTTTCATCATGAGTAAATGACATGTTACTTACAGATACTTATACTGAAGTCCTGGTGATTTTTAAAATGAAAAGCAGCCAGGGATTCGGAAACACAGGAGTGGGGTGGGGGTGCTTAACTCTTTTCTCATCAGTCATTTCTCTGTTAAAAATCACTCCTCTGGCTGGTCCCCCCGCAATTCAACAAGAGTCAGAGTCCCAGTATATGTTAATAAGTGATTGATTTATATAAGCTCACTACTCTAGGTTCCAATTTTTTAAAATCATGTCTATGAGAACAGTGGCATATATGATGACTTCATCACATATCAGAAAGGTTATGATGACAAACAGAATTCTCTCTACCATAATAGCCCTCAGAGAGCTACAGTGAGTCAGGAGAGATTATGTGCTCCCAGAAGTATATAAAGGTTCACAGGCGGAATTCAACTAAACAACTGTGTGAGAAGAATGGTGTCCACTTATGCAATGGGACTTTCCCACCCTAGAACAGATTTAGGGCGGAGGAGAGGGGGAGCGCATTCTGTTGCACAAGGAAAAATCCTTGTGCTGATGGAACATTAGCCGTAGTGCTACACTGAAGTCTTCCCACAGAGTAGAATGAGATGCTCATATCTAGTGCTAAAACAAAGTACAGTACCTAATATGCTCCATTCTGCTGTCACAAATGTTGCTATGGGGGGGGGGGGCAGGGACGGAGAAAGGGGGTGTGGCAGGGGCGGGCCACCCCAGGTGTCACCACTGAGGGGCAGTGACAAAATGCCGAGTGGCACTCACTGCGAGGCCTGCAGCACGCCCAAGCCACGCATCTCTTCTGCGAGTGACGCAGTGGATTGGTGCCCACAGACTCCACAATGCCCCAAACGGTCTGCCTGCTTGCCTCCCCCTCAGCTGAAAGGCGGCTGAGTGGGTGGAGGCAGGCAGACTCCTTGGAGGCCCCACGGCCCTGCCCCAGGCGTCTGACTGGCTTGCTTTGGGGGGGGGCTCTAATCCAGCACCAGGAGTATGGATGTGGGGTCTCTTGCACCATGTTTTTGCCACCAAGTAATGCCCACCAGCTTGGCTGGTGCCAAGTGTTCCCTTCTCTTCTCAGTAGGCAATTAGCAGTGAGGATCTCTCTCTTCTCTGCAGATGAATTGCCATTCATCACTTTCCACAAGAAGAGGTCTCAAAGAGAATCAAAAATCCATAAAATTCAAAACACCTTGGTAATCAATTAAAAGCCAAATCCATAGAAAAAGATACAATATAACACCCCCCAAAAAGTGTTCATCCAACAATAACAATAAAAAGGATGGCTCCTACCCCACCCCATTCTGACTGACAACAAAAGATGACAGGAGCAAATTCACCAGTGCTATTTGGACTGGCAAACCATGGATAAGCATAGAGAACATTGTCATTCAGCTGACATTTTCTACAGACCCCAGCGAATCGGGTTACTGCTAAGTGATGAATGCCACAAACTAGGCTAGACATCATAACGAAGACTTACCCGTGTTAATGACCCAAGGAAAATGGTCTTAGCCTGACAGCTGCAAACTGACCATTATGGTATGTTTCCTTCAGAAGAAAACTGCACAAACCCAGGTGTAGATGTACCTGTCTGTAGCACATATCTATATTGGGTTCAATGGCTTTTGAAGTGTCTGAAGCCTCAGAATAGAGCCTTCCGGTCTATCAGTTTTGTTCTGCAGTCCATCATATTGACCAAATTGTAGCTTCAGAAGCTAGTGATCATGTGTGCTCTATATAGCATGCAGAGAGCTTAGAAGAACTTGGGGGGGGTCCAATTAGAGAGTGCTAATTGCTCTCCTCTTATGCACCTGCACAAAAGCATAAGAGCTGCCACAAAAGTTGCTGTAAGAGCAACAAATTGGTTTTTAATGCAGTACTTTCAGAAGACGAATGCAGTCTGGTATTTCCTGGTCCAGCCTCTCATCTCTCCTACCTGGTATGATGCTGTCATCCTTTAGTGCTGATGATGGTGTGAGCGTGTCATAAAGGGGTGTCTGTCGCACACTCCTTTCATATTCAGTATCAAAGACAGTTTGGTCGTGACAAAACAGGTTCCCCATTCTGCCTTGGCAGGTAAAGCAGAGGGAAAGATGTGTGAAGATAGAATTTGTCATCACAACTACTTAATCTGTATATTTTTCGGAAAGGCAAAATATTTGTCATAACCCAAGCTTAAGCCCCAACCTTGTCTAGAGCACTCTGGAAGTCTAGACAGTCCCATATCAGGATGTAGCAGGTCCAATCTCTACTTCACTATCCCCATCTCACCAGAATCAACTCTGGAACACATTGTCACCAGCTAAGACAAGGCCAGTTGCTCAGGTGCTTCTTTGTGTTGTCTCCTGTTCTTCCTTAAATTCAGAATTGTTGTGCATAGATTCACTGCAGGGTTTTTGTTTTTAAGGCAGTTCAGCTTTAGAAGCTTCTTCTTCTTCTTCTACATTTATCTACAGTCCTCTCTCTCTCTCTCTCTCTCTCTCTCTCTCTCTCTCTCTCTCTCTCTCACACACACACACACACACACACACACAGCATAGTGTGAAATGCTTTAGGACAGTGGCTTGAATCCTATGAACACTTCCCTGGGAACACATTGGGACTTGCTTCTTATATATGTGTATTGTTTCACTGTTATCACAGAATAATAAATGTTATGTGCAACTCCTCTAATTGTCAACTTTGAATTAAATTGTGGGGGCATCACCCTCTTTTGTGACTTCTATAGATAGAACGAATCTATGTTTAATATTCAGGGAGAAGGGCGTGATAATATTGCAATCAAGCAGCCAACAAATGAGAAAACTAAACTTTAAACATTTCATAGGTAGGCAAGACAAATTCACTATTTGCCCTATAGCCTTTAAAAGATCTAAATTGTTGAATATGGGAACTCTATATACCGAGATGGGCTAACTCTATATCCCAAGATGCACAGAGTATTACACACGGTTTGATTTGATATTCCAAAATTGCTCCCAGGCCCAGAGCCTGCAATAGCATCATTAACCTTAGCTCCAGAATTAGAGTTTCTACTTCAGTTCTAAAGTTCCATTAGCCCAGAGGCTATTTTCATCTTTCTGCCATGTACCCATGCGATTAGTGCTGAAACGGGGCATGTAAAAGTTGACACAGAGTCTGCATTTATTTCTGCATGCCTTTTTGTTCACTGGAAATCCTCAGCTGACCTGAGAGAAGGTTCATGCAAACAAATGAGAGATGATCACAAAGTAAGGCTCTTCACATACATTAAGAGCACAATCCTACGCATGTTTACTTAGGAGGAAGTCCCACTGAGGTCAATGGGATACGTCTAGGTAAGTGCTCTTACCTGGATGAAAGGAGGGTATCTTGATTGGTAAAACAGCCCTTCTACCAACATGCTCACAGGATGATTTGACCACAGTCTCATTCTCTCTCCATGCACAAGCTATTAACTTGTTAAAATCTTAGATTGCTTTGCTTTGTTTTTTACTTCTTTCTGCTTGTTTCATCTTTCTTTGAGATTTGCTATTTGATTTTCCATGCTAGTCTCTTCCTCTAATCCTCCTCCTCTGCCGCTCTGTCTCTATTCTAATATCTCTACATCTATGTTTCATTGCTGGTGAAACATAGCATATTTGGCGGGAGCACATAATATAATCACACAAAAGTAATATAAGCACACAAAAGGTTTATTGGCAAGCTGAAAGGATGAGACTCGTTCCAGGAAAACATTCCAGGAAATACTACTCTAAAGGCATGTCCCTATCTGTAAATCTCTGTTGTCTTTGGAATGAGTAGAGATGTCTAAAGCAGAGTCTGTATTAATTCAATGGCAAGATCAGGTCATCATATTATAGTTTAGTTTTAATGTCCCCAGTTTCTGAAGATGGCTGTCATGAATGCACATTCACCCTTCCTAGTGCAAATTCAGGCTTTCTTTTTCTGTAGGCTCTTCAGACCCTCATCATTGGAGGAAGAAAAAAGACCAAGTTCCTACTTTTCACTTGATAGTGAAGAAAATTATGTATTTTTTAAAAAAATAATAAAAACACACACATAGAGCAATAACTTTCCATTAATAATGTCACTTTTTGCTTTAAAAAACCCCACTCCGTTTTAATTCTGGGGACTTCTTTTTTACATTGTGCCATTATTTTGGGTGTGATTTGCAGAGTTAACATTGTCTTGTCTTGTTATTTTGTAAAGACTATCACAAGGAGCTGAAGCTAACTTACTGGCATAACCTCTCTGGCTTCAGTGAATACACACCAGGGATGGATCTACCCCATTGTGTTCCAAAAAGAAATTGTAAGGCAATAATGTATTTTACACACACTCCTCTGAGCCCAATTGCTCTATGTGGAAATATAGAAATAGACTGCAAAAGGAGGATTCGTTTCAATTTAATTATTCCTGGTAACTCACTGAGAGGAAGCACAACATCTGGCTTCTCTATCTACGTTTTCAGAAGATTGATTAGTACCAACGAAAGGCAGGCAGATGTATTAATTAAGAACTATAAATGGAAAGTGCATGTCTTGGACCCAGTTCAACAAGCCAATATGGACATGGTAAGCAACTGAGAGGGACATAGGACAGAACGTGTTTTAGTGCAGTGGGCCACGTTAAGACAGTTAGCATGAGTCACCTCAGATGTAATCTTGTCCATTCTTCAGCCATAGTTAAGGAGTTAACTAGGCCATAGTTAAGGAATTCCACTTCACAGGCAAATTTCCCCTTGCCGTCAAGCATTGGTATGTGTGCGCATGGAGGGTAACAGGTGATATATTTATTGCCTCAGTGGGAAGTTATTCTCTGGTAGTGCACAGATGCCATCAGCTTCAGTGCCCCCTTTGCAATTCTTGATGAAGTTTCTAATGCTGTCTGAAGAGGTTATCTCCACAGCATGAAATCAAAGATGGACAGATCAACCATCAGATTGCCAAAATGGTGCACTCCAACTCTTTTTGGCTTCCAACTTCCATCATTATGGTCAGGGATCATGGAAGCTTTAGTCAAACAACATATGGGCACCAGATTGGCTATTCTGACCTAAGATTTCAAAAGGAATGATATTCTTCTTATCATTTTTAAAAACACCCAGTAAGCACAGGGCAAAGAGACCAGATAGCAAGAAAGTGGTTCCATTTGCTCCATGGTGGGCTGATTCTGGGCCAGTTATGTAACATGCAAATGTACAATTTCAAAGGGTCAGTTTATTGTCTTAAAAGTTGCTTGCTGTCATACACCAGTTTGCACCATTGGAAAGCTATAATCATAAATGTGGGATAATGCTTCATGCAGTTTTCAGGAGGCAATTGTTATTTCCCCCCTCTCAGCTGAGAAATGCCATGACAATAACCCTATAATGCTTTAGAATAGCAATCTGATAAGCAGATTAGTTTTCAGAAATGTATTCAGGCAGTAGTTAAGTTCTTTTTTATTTATTTCAGCTGTCTCCACTGGAGATTTATTTTTAAATAAATGAACACACATCATGTACTAATAGTTCTGGCTTTGCAGAGTACATCAACCATTATGGGAAGGATCATAAGTAATGCTTTCCCATAAGATCTAAGCGATAGAGTTGGCTGGAGTAATCATCTGTTATTGTAAACATTTCCTCTCCAACATGTGCACGTACCAAATCACAAAGCCTTTAATACAAGAAAGCAATGGAATTAAATATGCTTGCTTAATGCTTCTGGTGCCTTTTATCTTTTGAGATGCGGTGGTAGTTAAAGCCATTCGTGCTAGATTCAAAAAGAATGGAGAGTCAATTACATAAAATTCTATGGTTTGCTACAATCCTTTGCCCAATTACAGATTCTGAAACCCTTTTATTTAATTGGAACTGGAGGCGCATAATTATTTTTTTCAAGTTGCTTTTTGACAAAGGTATTCAAAGATAAGTGCAGGACTAGAAATAAACTGCATGCCAATAAAAATTGAACAGTAAAAAGAAAATATTTATCAATTGCCAAAAAAAAAAAGCAGCAAGTGGTCAGTAAAACAGCAGGCAAAAATGAAGAGCTACTAAAGCAGTAGAAACATCAGAGCAATATTCTAGAAGTCTTGGATAAAGTTTTAACCTGGCCACTACGCGGGTGGCGCTGTGGGTTAAACCACAGAGCCTAGGACTTGCCGATCAGAAGGTTGGCGGTTCGAATCCCCGTGACGGGGTGAGCTCCTGTTGCTCGGTCCCTGCTCCTGCCAACCTAGCAGTTTGAAAGCATGTCAAAGTGCAAGTAGATAAATAGGAACCACTCCAGCGGGAAGGTAAACGGCATTTCCGTGCGCTGCTCTGGTTTGCCAGAAGCGGCGTAGTCATGCTGGCCACATGACTGGAAGCTGTACGCCGGCTCCCTTGGCCAATAAAGCGAGATGAGCACCGCAACCCCAGAGTCGGTCACGACTGGACCTAATGGTCAGGAGTCTCTTTACCTTTACCTTTACATATAATTAATGAAGAATCTTCCATAGTTCTCTGCCCTTGACCAATGAAGTGCTGGCACATAGCACTGTGTGGTCCATAGGGAGGCAACTTCCATCCTTCACTACTTACTCTCCTGTCCACTATTGCCTTCTAAGCTTTCAGGCATTCCTTTGGGATCAAAGCACTCCATCTGCTGACTCCTAGCAAAGAAGAATGGAGTTAAGCATCTCCAGCACATTGTACCATTTGAGACTAACAGACCCTCCAAGTATCCCTATTTTCCGGGGACAGTCCTGGATTTACAGAAGCCATCCTGGTTTCCAATTTGATTCCCCGAATGTCCTGCTGTTACTTAGTAGGACACCCCTATTTTCACTGGAGAAATGTTGGAGAGGATTGTCTAAAGATATGCGCAGTTAACATTTGAATATTCCCCAATAACAAAACAAAAACAAAAAACCCACCCCAAACATTTGACTGAGCATGCTGGTTCTTAAGAACAGCCCCTGACCTCCCTTAAACTGAAAGGCAAATGGACATTGTGCTGGGATCAA